TTTGCAAATTTGAAGAGGTTGCTGCAGAACAAGACTCGATTGGTGTGGGTTGCCCAGCACACATACTGAATAATTGTGTTCATCACGGGGCAGACACAATAGATGTTGACCTTGAGAATATCATGTTTAAAATCTACCAGTACTTCCACATTTACACTGTGCGCACTGAGAACCTGAAGGAGTACTGTGTTTGTGTTGACATTGAGTACAGGAGGATGCTTTCTCACAGCAAGACAAGGTGGCTGTCATTGTTCCCAGCTACAGATGTTTCCAGCTTTAAAGGCACTCTTTCTGTCACAGCGAAAGCCACACATAGCGATCAAGAAGTTTTTTTGAAAACGACTTCAGTGAGATCTACCTGTGGCACATGCACTCACTCATATCTGTGTTCCACACCCACACTCAACAACTGGACAAGGAGAACAACTCCATCATGGAGGTGAAGAAAATATTGAACAGCATCCACAACATGCTTCTTGAACGTAAGAGCAACAATTTCATGTCCCTTAAAGTTAAAGGGACTACTGGCAGAAAATCGCAGGGATGGACTTGGTGAGGGCTGTGACAAGTTCTGTGCTGATGTGCGAGGCCTGTACAGTGCATGTCTGGAGTATCTGGAGAAGTGGAAGAGCTCTCAGCATTTATGTGGATGGATACGAGAGAGCCACCAGACTGGAATGATAACCCTAAGAGAGAAGGGGGTGCCAACTGATGATGTCAAGTGTTTTGACCAGGTCGCCAATCTGAAGAAATGCATAGCAAGGTGCAACAGTGATGAGGAGCTCATTGGCCTGCAGGTGCACCAGAAGTGGACCAAATACTTTGAGAAGGCCAAAAGCATTGCATGCTACTCAGAACTACTGAAGACCGCACAGCTTGTCTTTGCACGTCTCTCTCAGAACGCAGATGTTGAGAGGGTTTTCTCCCTGATGCCGAGCCGGTGGACAAAGGAGAGGAACCAGCTCTCTGTGGAGTCACTGAAAGGGATTCTATTTGAGAAATACAACTTCAAAGACACTTCTTGCAAAGACTTTCATGCTTATTTGTTAAGCAACAAAAAACTGCTGGGAAAGATCAGCTCTACAGCAAAATATAGACGGACTAACGAGGAGGATGAGGAAGAACAACAGGATGAAGAGGAAAACTAAAGATATAGGTATTTTCTGTTAGTTAGTTTTTGTAAGAGCTGTTTTTGTTAAATTTGGATTGCTAATATAGCAGAGGTATTTTTTTTTGTTATTTAATATTTATTTTTCTAATACAGAAGAGTTCATCTTTCTAATCATACCCCACACAAAACTGATTTCAGTTTCTTCACCTATACTTTCACAATATTTCCTCCAATAGTTTCTTTTCGCATATCTAATTACTTTCCTAACAATTGCTTGCTTCCTCTTATATTCAATAAAATAATTAAAAACATAAGTTTTCCTAACCTTTTTCAGTGATTTATTTTAATTTACTTTAAGTGTTATTGCTTTACTACACTCCTCAGTCCACCAAGGGACTGACTTCTTCCTGCTACTTATTTTACCTTCACCGATTGCTTCCTCAGCTGCTTCACATAGACTATTACTTATTTGATCATTTAGTTCTTCAATCTCCTTTACAGATTCTTCACTTACTGTCAACAAAATCTCACTACGTTCCTTAAATTTGTCCCAGTCAGCTGATTTGAATTTCCATCTAGGCATAATTTCCTCTACATTCACATCCAAATCAATTCCTATTTTGCAAATTATTGGAAAATGATCACTGCCTATTAGATTTTCCTTCAATGTATCCCACACACACCTCCTTCGCCAGGTTTCCAGTGACAATAGTTAAATCTAAGACAGACAATTTCCCTTTTGATAAATCAATTCTTGTTGCCCTTCCATCATTTACACAAACCAAATCACTTCCATCCATTTTCACTTCCCCATAATGTACTATGCCCATTAAAATCTCCACACCAAACCAGACTATGATTATCCACTCCCCTAATTTCCTCAAGAATGTCTCTACTTAATCTTTCACATGGATTATAGTAATTAATTATTCTTTTTTTCTGATCTCCAGCCCACACCTCTATTTCAACTACTTCATATTTATTGCATATTTTAACTGTTCTAAATTGTATTCCTTCCATTACAAATGTAGCCACTCCCCCTCCTACTCCAGAAAGTCTATCCCTACGCACATTATTATAACCCTGTACTTTAAAATCCAACTGAGGCTTAAGCCAAGTTTCCTGAATACAAATTACATGAGGTTTATCATCCTGTTCTGCAATAAAAATTTTAAATTCCTGACCGTTTGAAATTAAGCTCCTTGCATTCCACTGCAAGATTATTAGCACCATTAGGATCCACCACATGATGCCTGCGAGCTTGCCATTTGCATCTTTAATTTATCATTTATCTGTTCTACTGAAACCCCCTCAACATCCAGATACTTTTCTGCACCCCTAATAATAATTTTAATCCTCTCAGTTCTACTCTCAGTTTGCGCTGAGCAATTCACTACCTCCGCCAGAAATGTAACAAATGAAATCTGATCAATTACCATAAGTTTTCCACTCATAGTTCCTCTTCTATGGTCAAATTCATTAATTGGAAGATTCCGTTCCATTCTTTCATCACTTTTAGATTTTGACATCTGAACCTTTTTGAGAGCCTCTGCATAAGTCAGACCTTCTGTCGCTCTCACATTTTGAACTTTCGCAGCTTCTTTCCTGTATTGGCATCCCCCATAACCTGCACTGTGCTCCTCTCCACAATTACAACACTTTAGCTTTACATCTTGTTCACATTTACCATATTCATGATTTCCTCCACATCTGGCACATCTTTGTTTCGTCCGCTTTTCACACTACCAGTCCTTCATTAGTAAGGTATACAAATTAAACATTTATAAAAATAAAAATAAATGTTTTTTTTTAATTACTACACACAGACACACCGAGACACACACACACACACACACACACCCACACACACATACATATATATATATATATATATGTTATTAATATATATTTTTTGTTTGTTTGTTTTTTTGTTTTTTTTGTAATTAAAGCGTCAAAACACAAATGCCATATGAAAGGGTCTGGTCAGAAATTCTTTATTGAAGATGTATTTGGATTTTTTTACAGCCCATTTAGTTCTCGGATTAAACTTTTAACCAATGTTGCCAGAGCAGCATCGTTATTAGTGTTTCTCTCTAAGTATAAATGTTTATTACAAGAGTTTGAGTGAAACTAAATCATACAGTCTTATGCTAACAAAAAGGATTCATTTTTTCTTTATGTTCTCTCATGATAGACATGACAGAATAAACACATGATATAATCAGTCTAACCACAGATACATGCTGTGTACACCGACCATCTGTGCGATATCTTATTTGCATGCTACCTGTTGCATGAAGAGGAAAGAACCAAACAAAGATTTCTCAGATTTCTTCTTCATTCGCACACTGCTATGGTAGACTGACAGCCCAGGATAAATCTGATGTGTATCTACGGTTTTATTCATCCCCACAAATCCGGTCCAAACCACAGGCGGACCACAAAATACACAAGGCTTCTGTTCAAAGTTCTAAAACTAATATAATCTAGTTTAACCAGGTTTATCTGCAGCTTTCATCTCATTCCTTCTCTTCTTTCTTCTCTGCAGTCGCCAGTTCCGGGTCCAGCATCTCGGAGAGAGCCGCTCCGCTGGAGTCTGTGATCTTCTTTTCTAATTTAGTCACACGCTTCTTCAGTTTGCCTTGTGCGGCTTCGTGTTCGGCTAACAGTCGGGCGAAGCGCGTCTGAAGGACATCCAGCACGCTGCCGACCTTGAAGACCTTTTCCTCCATGTCTTTGGGATCGGGACCCTGCTTGGCCAGCTCTAAATCCAGAAGATTGTCCTATAAATAAAAATTATAAAACATTCAAAATGTGAATTGACACTTTTATAGCTTCCGTTTAGTGTGAGGAACAGAGGAACATGTCTGACTTTAGCAATACACAGCTGCGGTTGAAAACTAACCCAGCTAACAAAGAACGTTCTCAGAACTTTGGCTAACATTTGGGCACAGTTTTCTCAAAGTTATGAACAAACGCTCTTCCAGTAACGTTAATGGAACATTTGTTCAGAGTTATCTGGTCTTTATTAATCTTCCCAAAACATTAGCACAAAAATGTTTCTACAATGTTTTATTTCTGAAACATTTTAATTGGGCGTTCATCTAAAGCCCAAAGTATACTTCGGTTTTTACGCGTATGTGAGGTTCTGCCTAGAGTGCGCGTGATGCAGATTTCGTCATCAGAATAGTATGTAGTATGCAGGTCACACATGCACATTGAATTTGTTTTGCACTAATCAGTTGTTCCACAAGCTGGCAGCACTGGCCCGGGCCGCTGTTTCACACTAGAAAACGCAACTAAAGAGACGGAACCGTTAGTACTTGTTTCAAAATGTCTGGAGAACATTCAAAATAGCATTCCCATAATATTTGCATGTTCCTTTAACGATTGTATAACCAAGAATGAAGTAAAAAAAAAAAAAAGTTGTTAGAGAACATTCAGAAATAATGTTTTCGCTATATAATGAAACATTAGAAAAACATTCTTAGAACATATTTTTGTTAGCTGAGAATTCTTCAGAATCGTTAAAGAGTAAATTTTTTATTCCCACTCTTACTGACCGTCATGCCGCGCAGGTTGGAGATTCGGAACACGTTCGGAAAGTTAGTCCGTGTTTCGGTGCGCTGGAAAAACTCGAACAAGCGGTTGACCCTGAGTAGCTTGTTCATGCGAATCTCGGGGTAGTTCAGACCGAAGTAGAAGTAGAAGATGTCGGTCGGAACCATAGAGGCCAGGTCCAGCTTGAACTGGACGCTCTGCATGTAGCGATCACGAAGCTTCTTCTCGTCTTTCACCAGGAGCCCATGTTCCAGATATCCTGCAGACGAGCACAAACAAACCAAGATTTCAACACGCTCAGTGTTCAGTACGGACACGTCTCCTGATTAGGGTTGCAAAGGGGTGGAAAATGTCCAGTAAATTTCCAGAAACGTTCCATGGAAAGTTAAGATAGGGAATTTTGGAAATATTCCAAAGGGAATTAAATGAAAAATTGGAGTAATATATACAAACTGTATCATATACAAACATAAATATAAAAAGTCCCATTAAAAATGTCAGTTGGGGCATGTGGCACTGTTCTGAGGAGTAAGATTAGAAAAAAGCTTGTAAAATACACTATGCAACAGATGCACAGATGTATAAATAGTTAAACAACTGAGACATTCTGGAAAGGTAAAAATATTTTATAATTGATGCTGGAAAAATTAATAGAAATAGTACATTTAGAATATCTGATTTACTGGCTTAGCTAGATGCTGTATAATTCCTCTCTTTCTCTTTCTCTTTCTCTTTCTCTTTCTCTTCTGTTTCTTTTTTCTTTTCCTTCTCCTTTTTTTCCTTCTTCTCTTTTTTCCTGAAATAAAACAAATACGTAGAGTAAACATCAATGAATCTATGAAACAAATTTGAAAAATCATCTCATCTTACTCTTTCTTCTCCTTTTTTTCTTTCTTTTTCTTCTTTTTTTCCTCTCTGTAAATATAAGACAAATAAAGATGAAACCAGTTAAAGCACCTTGTGTAAGTGTGTGCTGTGGTTTGTGTGTAGTGTGTGTACATGAACTCACTCTTCATTGTTATTGTTGGTGTTGGTGTTGAAGAAATCTGGGTGCTTCTTTTCTCTTTGGAAAAAAGTCAAATCAATAACCAATAACTTATCAATCATTAACCAGCCACTTATTTCTATCTGAGATAATCCATTTATCTGTCACCCATAATGCATCGCTCACATAATGTCCTCTGTGGCCATGGCAACCTGCTCCACCCCCTCCAAGTGAAAAGTGGGTGGGTCCACAGGCCTCACCCGAGCAGACATCCCAGCTGATTGGTCAGGCCACCTGCCCGTCACACAGTACTGGAGAAAAAAAAAACACATTTCACATTTTATAAACTGTGCAGATGTAGTTCACAACAACTACACGAATCAGAAGAACTCAGATTGGAAAAAGCCAAATAAACAAATTTTTAAAAATGAATTTCAATGCACTTCAATAATGTCTCAAGTGTGTGTGTCATGGATTTGGCTCTCATCATATGTGTGTTTGACGTGTTTGTCTTCGTTATTTTGCGATGTTCACCTTGAGTGCAGCAGCTTGAGAGATTATCTGTCTGATAATGTGCCTGTCAGCTCTCTTCACTGATTACCTATAAACCCGTTAATCCTGCAGCATTCAGGTTAACTCAACACTTCATCTGTGTTAAAGACTCTACCAGAGGAAACAGATACAGTCACTTCACATTACAGTGCTTCTCTTACAGCAAAATCACGTGTGTTATTTTACCTGTGAACGTGTCTGCAAATATACATGCAAACGTGTAAATGGTTCTCTAATCGCTATGGTTAATATCTAAGAGTTATTAGTTTGATACTTTGGATCAAACACAAGGAATCTGCATTTTAAAAGAAAACGTACTTTGCTGTATTGCTATAGAACAAACACTTCATTTATAGAATGTAAAGATAAATAAATATGAGTTAGAATATTATTAAAGAACTTTGTGTCACAGAGGACAAAATCCACTAATTTCTCATTAAGTTCACTACTTTTACCCACAATTCTTTAAATAATAGAAGAGATGAAAATGTCTAGGTTATTTACTACAGGAACAAATCATTATCAATAGATAAACATTTAAAATGACTTGGGAAACACACAAATACAGGACGGCACCAGACTTTAATGTAAATAAACGAATCCACTGAATGGAAATGATACTGAGGTCAAAGGTCACACACACCAGGAGGAAATGCCAAGTTCTCACAGTAACTCACATCCTGAAAACGAAAATCAGCAGTTCAGTCTCACTCCAGTGTTATTCGATCCAAGGCAAATAACAGAAAAATGATAAGCACAGTTCATTCGTCTTGTTTATCTGCCAGCGTCTCGTGTGTGTAATCAGACAGAATTCACCTCCTCTGTTGCCTTAAATAAAGTAAAACCTCAGTGTTTCTTTGCTTCTTTTTGATATCCAAAGTATAAACTCAGGAGAGTTGAATTTAAAACTGTGATGATTGTTGGGAACGCTTCTGCGCTACAGTCACATTAAAAAGAATTTACAATTTTCTCGATTGCTAACACACTATAACTGATTCATTTGGCCCAATTTTCCAAACCATTCATGCAGTTCCTGAAACAAAGACACGTTTCTCAAAACTTTGAACACATTTCACCTGTTTGCACACACGCTCCAATTTGCTCAGTGTTTTCTGCAAAACTCTACACAAAAACGCTATCATTTTGCACAGGTTTAACCATGTTCTCATTCAGAAAACACAAACACACAACATAATTAACACAAGCATCAACAAATGAACTCAAACAGCACACATTTATCCATGTGTGAACATTCAGTAGCAAAACTGACGACACACAGGTCAGAATCTCAGGATGATATGAACAGGAGTACACGTGATTATGTGTTTTGGAAAATGAATCCTGGTAGTGGGAGACAAAGAGGAATTGGGGGGAATAAAGACGAATGGGATGAGGTCAAAGGTCATTTTGAGCATGTTCTTCTACATGGACTGACCATGAAGGAAGTTGGCCTACAGGCTCATCTACAAGGTTTCAATACTACTTACACAATACACATACAATATAATTACAGTACATAGCAGCAGCACTTCAGATGAGAGAACTTTCATTATTCTATGTACAGTAAATGCTGTAGTACATATGTTGTACACACTCAAACTCATCACTGTTGAATTGATTTGAAGCCAAGTATGTACTGTATTTGTGCAAAACTGAGAGACGACTGTCTAGTGGAGGCAGAGAAGTCTTTTGTCAGAAGACTAAGAAACTGCTATAACAAATAAGGATACTACCAATACTGTAATGCAAATTGGCAGAGGATGCTGAATGAATGAATTTAAAGGGGTCATATGATGTTGCTGAAAAGAACATTATTTTGTGTATTCGGTGTAATGAAATGTGTTTATTTATAAAAAAACACATTATTTTCCACATTCTGTACATTATTGTTTCTCCTCTATGCCCCGCCTTCTGAAACGCGTCGATTTTTACAAAGCTCATCGATCTGAAAAGCGAGGTGTGCTCTGATTGGTCAGCTATCCAGTGCGTTGTGATTGGCCGAATACCTCAAGCGTGTGACGGAAATGTTACGATCCTTACTATGGGATTACATCTCTGCCACAATTCTGCGCGAAAGAGTTTTGTGGAGAAAATGTTTGTCTCGCAAAGAAGAAAGTATTTTGAGCGCACAAAAATCAATTTTGCATTTAAAATAAGTTTTTGGATTTGTGCAGACCTTCTCTTTTGCGCGTGCAACGTTTCACTAGCTTGCTCCCTTGATGCCCGCCCTCAGTGCACTGCTCTCTAAATGCCAACGGCTCGCTTGCTCAACAAAACCCAGCATTACAAGATGCCATAATTCCAGCCAATCAGAGACGAGTCTGCTAAATTCTGATTGGCTGCCTTGACAACCAATCCCAACATTCCTTGACAGCAGAAGAGGAAAAATGCAGTGCATGCATAATTATTATGTAAGTTGGTATTCTGATCATATTTTTTTCCAAGCACATCTGACCAATTCTAAATGACATCAATCTTAATAACTACTATTAATCTTGTATTTAGTTATTTATAATTGATATATAATTAATCATAAAGGCTGTAAGTGAAAAAGTCTTATATTCAGGTGTGCATAATTATTAACCCTTTAGGCGCCAGGGTTTTTTGGAAAAAATGCTGGATTTTGACGTCAAGATTTCAAAAGCTTGTGGCTTGAAAGGGCTTAAAGATAGATATCTACTGTAAATTAATAAAATGTTGGGCATGACCGAAAGTTTATGTGGGGTGTAAATATACTCATTTAATTTGCATATCATGACGTCATCAGGGGCGGCCATCTTAAATTTCATAATATTCAGGAAATAGTAGATATTGAATTGATGTTTGAACTTATTTGCATGTTGTTGTTGTTTTTGTCTTTTTATCCTCATTCCAAATTATCAGAAAAGAGGAAACCAACAATAAAGCAGGAGAAAGTACAAAATTATTACTTTATTACTATACTATATAGTAGTAAAACGCATGTGAACAGTAGCCTACTTTTTGTTCAGTTCATCAGTAATATCCAGGAAATAGTAGATATTGAATTGATGTTTGAACTTATATGCATGTTTTATTTATTTATTTAATTTTTTTTATCCTCATTTCAAATGATCAGGAAAAGAGGAAATCAAAAGTAAAACTATTAGTAACTATAGTAAATTATGACTATATTACTGTGCCATAGTAAAATGCATGTGCCCATTTTTTGATCAGTTGACCAGATATCTGCCCGATCAGGTATCTAGGTGACTAATGGCGCTTTTCCACTGCATGGTACGGCGCGGTACGGTTCACTTTTTAGGGGGTTTTCCACTGGGTACAGTACCTGGTATCTGGTACTTTTTTTAGTACCACTTCGGTTGGGGTTCCAAGTGAACCGTACCGTTACCAAAACGTGACGTGTAAACTCTGCTGATCATGGATTGGCCGGAGAGAATCGTCACTACCTGCGTCACTGAACTTGCGGCACAAACACAACAGAACAGCTAGATTTAAATCAGCACAGCCAGCGAAGGATCGAACGCAACTGTTTTGAACGAGCGCACCTTTTTTTAACAACCAAAAATCTTGTGTGTGTGTTCAGCCGTTGCGGAAGAACAGACGTTCCTCTCGTTGATAACAGAGGAGCGGATCCAGGGCTGGACTGGGACAAAAAATTGGCCCTGGCATTTTTTAGTCCAGGCGGCCCATCACCACATTGAGATATATATATATATACATTATATATATATACACACACACTATACCAGTCAAAAGATTTTGAACAGTA